AAATACTAAAGACGATCCTTACAGTCTAGTCGCACTCGGTAACGTGTGGCTTCAAACACTTCAGCAGCCGGCGCTTGTTAAAGGCAAAGTAAATCGTTACCAAGATCGGGCTCTGGCCATGTACAGACAGGCGCTTAAAGTTCATCCGAAAAATATCTGGGCTGCCAATGGAATTGGTATGAAGTTGATACAGTTTACGTTGTGATTTCCGTTGGATGTTATACGTAATACGTTTTAGCTTACCGGGAATACCTTGGTTTATTACCTCTAAGATGATCTGTCCGCATGTAAAATCAGGTGACGCTGCAACGAGTGTTGTGTAATGTAGCACTCGCTGTGTGATTTTTAATGGCACACGCAGCTGCAACTGAATTTTGTTTCTGAACCAAAACAGAACCTGTTACGGAGACACTTCTGATAGATTTTTTGTCTCTTCTAACGATCTTGAGTGAAATTACGTAGTTCCTGATTTCATTGATTGTCATCACGTCATCCATTATCTTCGCTTTCAGAATTTTTTAAATTCCTTTAATAGGCAGGAGGTGAAGTATTAGTTGGGGTAATCCTTTTAGGCTAAAAATAGCCGTTCGGCTAGTGGTTACTGAGCGTGCAGAGTAGCCATTCACATCGGTACACTTAGAGGTCAGACTCGATGTAAAGATCGTCAGGATAGAAATTTCGATATATTATATCTTCATATGCTTCGTGGACATAAACAGGTTGTAACTCCTATTCCGTTCATGACTTATATTTTAATTATATGCATCATGAAGATCTTCCCTTGTTTAAGCGTACTAGTGTTCTGAAGAAGAAAAATTTATATCACGAGTGGTTTATTACTACGTAACTCTAACCACCCTCACAGCATTGAGAATGACATTGTAAACACCATGTTCTATAGATTTTTTATAACTATGCATGAGGTACGAGGTCGCTAAAATTGGGGTGGTACATGTTTAAAAGTTTGGAGAAGAACGGTATCCAGCAAAGATCATCAATGAAACGATCAGAGTATAAGAGATAACACGATACCGGTCAAGAAGCGGGACGTAAATACTTCAGCAGTCGTCATTTGTTTGGGATCTCTGGTCTCCATGAGACGCTACAAAGGAGAGTTTAGTGTCTAAGCGTGGCGTACTGTTGTTCTTTATCTGTCGTCGTGATTTTCGGCCGGCTTACTCAGATAAGACGAACAATCGAAACGAAGGTGGACAAAAGGCTGAGTGTCTCCTATCCTTTGTCAATGCATGGCTACATACATTGGGGAACCGGCAACAAGATCGAAGATAGAAAGTTCATGATTGGTACTTCATAAGATGCAGTAATATCGATCTAAGGAAAGTGGGCTAGACGGTCAGAAACTGACGACGTAGGGGGAAGCAGATAGAGAACTCGATGAAAATAAGAAGAATGCGAAAGAAACTTCTTACTGATTGAATACACTGTAAAAGAAGGCCATATCTTTGATTAAAAAGTCGTAAAAATGTTATGGTGCGAAAGAAATTGCCAGAAGCGGAAGATTAAAAGAGCGCCGATCATGCAAGCATCTGAATTTTTGAACAGAAACAAACGAAGGCTTTTTATCAATCTGGAAGAAAACAGAAACGCGTTGGTGAGAATGACCAAGACTGAATTACATCGGTACCGTATTTATATGCAATTCATTTATCGTATTGAATGTGAAGATCACTCTACTCTATGCAGCGACATTTCTGACATTGTTTTTGTGGTTGTTCTTACATGGTTCTCCTGAAACTGGACCCAATTTGATCCGAAACGTTGGGATTTCTTTTAATAAGACTAATACGCGAGAGAGAAAAACTCTGAAGATTTTGGCCGTAATAATTATGCACATTATTTAAAGTAATGTCGTGAACAGCCGAAGAGTGAAGGTTTGTTTACTTTGAATCCCTGAAAATTTAAATGCTGTTTTGCAGCAGATCATACTAAACGATCCGTTACTGATGACCCTTCTCCTGAGAAGGCCAGGCGCGGTCAGTGCTCTCTAGCCTACAACCGAAGGCAAGATAATAGCAAGTTTAGTGGTGGCGGAAGCGAATGGCTCTTAGAACAATTTTGTCGGCTTCACAACGAAATAATGTTTTGTACTTTTAATATTTACTAAATCCAGATGGCTTTGAAAGTCAGTACCGTACGCTATACAATTTAATTGCAATTGTCTGACTACTGCAAATTATTGACTTTGTTATTTACAGGCTGTGTACTGGCTCATAAAGGTTGCATGCAAGAAGCGCGAGACATCTTTGCTCAAGTTAGAGAAGCAACTGCCGAGTTTCCCGACGTTTGGATCAACATTGCACACATTTACGTTGAACAGAAGCAGTTCGTGGCCTCTATACAAATGGTACCCATCAATCAGAATATGAACTTGTTTTTCTTCAGAAGCTGGTTACATTAAAGAGCTCTTTTAGTACGAAAATTGTTTGAAAAAGTTTTACAAGCATACCAACGTGGAAGTGCTGTTGTACCTGGCGCAGGCGTATTTCAAAGCGGACAGGTTGAATGAATGCAAACTAATATTGCTTCGGGTATGAACACGATGCTAAGCGTGTAGTATAGCAGTTTTTGTTAATGCACGCTTAATTTAGGCCAGGCAAGTGGCACCTCACGACCTCGTTCTGATGTACAACATTGCATACGTGCTGCAGAAGTTGGCCATGCACCTGCTGAAGGACGACAAGTCGAATTTGACTTTGGTGCTTCAGGCCGTCAATGATCTCAAGTTAGCTGAAAGGTATGATTGTTGTTTTTCGAATTATGAGCAGAGATACGTTTATGAAGAGGTTTTTTGCATAGTGTTTCTGTGCTGCCTCAAGCATGTATTTGCTCGAATCAGCACTGTACACTTCAGGAGTTCAAATATCATGGAACTATGTCCTGAACTATGATATCCAAAGCAAGGTGATGGTGCGAGTTATAGTTGAGCTCTAATGATTTGGAAGATAATTCTCTATCCATGCTCCATACGTTGGATTTTTTAACGTTTTCAGGTTAAATAAACGTAATTGTAGTGCCACGGGGAAAAGTGGGTGATCAGATATGCCACTGATAGGTAACGTGACAAACAATACTGCAGTGATAAATTGTCCCGGAGGAACGGTACGAAAGCTCATTCACGTGAATCGTCGTCGGTTTTAGTAACATCGTTCGATATTTCTGCGTCGCGGTTTCACATTTTGTTTGACTCTACTTGTTTATTATCTGTATCTTCAATGGTAGATGATTCGACTGGCATTAAAGGGCAAATCGCCGTTGTAACAATGCGAGATAACACGGTTACTGTAATGCTTTGAGCAAAACTGTCGCTTTACCAAACTTTTTAGGTCAAAAGGACTCTGTTAAATAATAATTCCGTTTTTAAGTAATGCCCAACGTTATTGGCGGATCATCCGTTCATTTGCCCATTACTGGCATTTTCTCTCAATATGGCGAACGGCGTGAAAAAACATTCAATGCTTACTTCTGTCATTAATTCTATCGCTTATTCTTCGTCTGGGTTTGTATTTGAACGTCCTTTTAGAATGGTCTGCTTTTCGGATTAAGTGAACGTCATAACCAAATCACTGTTACAGATCTTATCAAGTTCATAACAGTCCTTCGCGAGGATATATTATATCCTAGTACCCTCACCACTTTCGGTTTAGACCATGAGAAGCTGCAGATTGCTGATTGACGATAATCAGTTAATAATTTTTCCTTGAACGTGCAAACTCACATATCTGTCGTCCTAGTAGAAATGTCGTTATTTGTTAATCGGCCCTTTTCAAGCCGGAATTTTCAGGTATTTTTCGTATATGGCCAAATGTAGCGAGCAGCGGCACGTCGACCATCAGATTGCGGCAGCCGAAGCTCGCCAGTGCAACGACTTGTTGTCACAAGCTCAGTATCACGTGCAGCGCGCTCGGCAGCAGGACGAAGCAGAACGGGAACTGCGCAAGAAGCAGGAACAAGAGCGAAGAGCACTGCGAGAAAAACAACTGGCGGAACAGGTTATTTTCTCATTTTTCTTTACTTTGATTTTGCGCTTCTGTTTTTTTACTTTTTGTACCATCTGTGCTTGTTTTGCATTTTCGATGCCAGATTTGTTTTGTAATTCATTGTGCTTATTGTTAATAGTAAAGTTTTTCAGAAACGAAAGGAAGAAGAAGAACGCCGTAGGTTGGAAGAGCAGGAACATAAGCGTCAGGAATATATCGAAAAGACAAAGCAGTTGCTAATCATACCGAACGTCACGGATGATGAAAAGCCAAAGAAGACCGTAAGTTGATGGGATACTGTTTGATCGGTCCGGTCGATTGATGTTCAGCAGTCAGACGGATTACGCCGGATTACGCTAGCTCTTTCTCTGGTCTTTTCTTTGCCACGGTGGTTTTATTACACCGGATGTGAAATCGTCCAATTTTTTACTAGGGTGATAAGCGGTTTTTACCAGCCCATGTATGACTCAGCGATAGTTTCTGTCCATCGGTGGTTGCTGATCCGAGTTACGAGCTCAGACCATAACATTTCGTTCTTCCTTTTTTCCGCGATGAAATCTTTCACTCTAATTCGCTGTTTGATTACTGCGCTGAGGGTATGGTCATGGAACGAAATTCTCAGAGTCCATGTTTGCATGCACTCCCATTAACTGATCACAGCATGTTCCTCCACTTTCGCTAGCAATCATGTTTCGCCGTTGTGCAGCCTCGCCGGCAAAACGGTTAGCTGAAGTTACGGGTCCGCGTTGTTCTACTGATCTTCTCAAGTAAGATATGATTGATATGGTTGAAAGCGCGTCAAACCGCTTTCTGTTTGCGTAAGATTTAAGCTTATGTTCATCTATGATATTCACTTTCTGCTCTGAATGTATGTAATATTGCACTTTTTCTTAGGTTACTTATTAACGATTGTTTAGGCCTTCCCAACAATATCTGAATGCATGCATTTTGTCTTCGACCGTTTGGCCTTTATTTCGACCTTTGTCATTTTCTTTTTCGATTATTGCTATTTGACATTTTT